ACACACAGTACATCACTGCACAGAGCACACCACTGCAAGCACGTATACACACAGTACATCACTGCAATCATGTATACACACAGTACATCACTGCAAAGAGTACACCACTGCACAGCATGCACACACACAGTACATCACTGCACAGAGTACACCACTATTACTATATACTATTATAGACTATTTACATCTATATTGGGTGAACCACATAGGAATCACAGTCCTTTTTATACAGTACATAAGCCCCGCCATTTTAGGGGACCAAAAGTAATTGGACAATTAGCTGCTCAGTTGTTTCTTGGCCAGCCGTGTGTCATTGCAATGTTAGTTCATGCACAAGAGAGCTGAAAAAGGGTCTAGAGTTAATTCTAGATGTGGCATTTGCATCTGGAGTCTGTTGCTCCAGATGCAAAAGAGGACCAAAGAAGTGTCAATGCCAGTGAAGTTGACCATCATGTGGCTGAAAAATCAGAATAAATCAATCGGAGACATAGCCCAGACATTAGGTGTGTCAAACTCATCTAGTACATTAAGAAGCAAGAACGCACTGGTGAGCTTAGCAAATGACCTGGTAGACCACAGAAGACCACAGTAGTGGATGGCTGAAGAAGACTTTCAATTGTAAAGAAAAAACCCTTTTCGACCATTGAACAGATCAGGAACACCCTCCAGGATGTAGGCATGGATGTGTCAAAGACTATACCATAAAGAGAAAAATACACCAGCATAACCTCAGAGGGTTCACAAGATGCAATCCACTGTAAGCTTCAAGAACAGAAAGGCCAGGTTACAGTTTGCTAAAATGCAAATAATAAAGTCAGTAGAGTTCTGGGACACAGTCTTACACAGTCTAGACGAAGATTAACCTGTACCAGAGTGAAGGAAATAAGTGTGGAGAAAAAAAGGATCTGCTCATACCACCTCATCTGTGAAACATGAAGGTAGTGTCATGGGTTGGGCATGTACCGTATGGCTGCCAGTGGACCTGGCTCACTTGTCTTTATTGATGATGTGACTGCAGACAGCAGCAGCAGGATGAATTCTGAAGTGTACAGAGGGATCTTATTTGCTCAGATCCAACCAAATGCCTCAAACCTCATTGGACGGCATTTCACCTTGCAGCAGGACAATGACTCCAAACATCCTGCTAAAGCAACTATGGAGTTTTTCAGGGCCAAAAAGTGGAATGTTCTCGACTGGCCAAGTCAATCACCTGACCTGAATCCCATTGAGCCTGCATTTCACTTATTGAAGACGTGACTGAAGGCAAAAAACAAGCAGAAACTGAAAATGGCTGCATTACAGGCTTGGCAGAGCATCACCAGGGAAGAAACCATGTGTCTGCTGATGTCTGTGGCTTGCAGACTTCAGGCAGTCATCGATTGCAAAGGATTTGGAACGAAGTACTAAACATGACAATTTTAAGATTATGTTAATGTGTCCAATTACTTTTGGTCCCCTAAAATGGGGGGAGTATGTATAAAAAGGACTGTGATTCCTATGTGGTTCACCCAATATAGACTTAAATACCCTCAAATTAAAGCTGACATTCTGCACTTTAACAAAATCCAATGTACTGGAGTACAGAGCCAAAACAACAAAAAACGTTTCACTATCCAGATATTTACGGACTGCACTGTACTGTATATACACAGTACATCACTGCACAGTATATAAACACACAGTACATTACTAAACAGCATGTATACAGATAGTAAAACACTGCACACTTTATAACACTACACAGCATGCTTTATACACACAGAACAACACTGTATAGAGTACATCACTGCTTAGTGTATATATAGACACAGTACATTACTGCACAGTATGTAAACACACAGTACATCACTGCACAGTACGTAAACACACACTACAACACTTGTGTACCTTTTCGCACTGTGTAATGAAAATGGCTGCACATCACTGCACAGTATATCTACACAGTACAACAATATGCAATGTACAGTATATTCACAGTAAAAAACTGCACAGCATACCTCACTGTTCAATGTGTATGCACAAAGTAAAACACTTCTCAGAGTAAATCTCCGCACAGTGCATATACATACAGTACAACAATGCACAATGCAGTCTTCACAAAGAAATGTACCCACAATACTGTACAGTACTGCACGATGTACTGTACATACAGAGTACATCCATGTACAGTACAATAAATACTTATTATAACACTGAACAAGTACTATATACACCACACAGCACAGTACTACGCAGTATGTACTGTATACTCACCGTACAGCTTACGGTACACTTTAGCATAGTACAAACTGAATACTACAGGACTACACAGTATAGCACTGCACTGTTCTGTGTATATAATACCTGTATAAATAATTACAAACCTGAAGAATGCTCCACAGCCGGAAAGTTCTGTTTCTTTTCTTTCCATTCAGCGTGGAATAAACCTTTACCCGTTCCTGTACATGCGATATGATGATTTTTCTTTTTACATCATTTTAGGAGATTAGTTTTTCAAAGACGTTGTGATTGATAAATGGAACACCGGGGAACTTATTATATGTCCTAATTTTATTGTAAATATGATCGAATAAAACAAGTTTAATGGAATATACATTATTATTTTTTATTCAGGTGCTTTCACGTTCTTTAACGATTATTATTGCGCCGACAAACACAAAAGCGAATGGAAGTGCTGCCACCTGTCGTGCATGGTAAATATTACAGCGGAATTCAGCTAACGTGATTAAATGGTCAAATTATTCCAACACCGGTCTGTGAATGCTTTATGATCTTAGAAAACCCGTGTCAAAATTAGTTTATATAGGATACAAAAAAAAATAAAAAAGATTTTACTATTATTAATTATGTTTACATTAACTAAAAAATAATAACCTCTAAGTGATTACTGGACTGCAGGTAAATATAAAATATAAAAACCATATCTGAGAGCAGTGAAAAGCAAATTTAGTTAAATGCATCTTGTGTTTAGATTATGGATTTCAGACTTATTAAGTATTATTGCCATAGCAATATCTTAAAATTCAAACACTGTTGTCAATTTTAATAGTAAAATGATGTACTTTCTTTTTTTCCTTGATTTATTGGAATAAAGTCAGTACTTTACAACCAGTGAGTGTGAAGACTTTGTTAATGCAGCATCTTATGCCTATTAATGGTAAATCTGCTTCTCTCAAATTCCATTGTGCTTTAGGAGTCAGGGACAGCCTAATGGGTCCTCTTTCTACTGAAGACGCTGTGCAACTGAGGAAGGTGCATATTTTGTTACTTCAGTTTCTTCTAATAACTTAAAAGTTTTTAAAGCACAGCAGAGGTGTCATTCACAGTTCCTCACTAAATAGTACACCATGGAATACATTACTGTTAAATATAAGATAATTTAAAAACTCATTAGTGAGTATTGTAACTTATAGCATCTTAATGCCTCTGAGCATAAACATACTTTAAACAAACAAATAGTGAAGTGCTATAAAACCAGAGAATAGTCTTAACAGTGGCAATTGTAAGTGTGACACATCACTTAATAAAGTCTTCTACATACTTTCATATGCCCCTACTAATATGGTAGCACTTGCACTCTGTGGTCTTTTCTCAAGATGTTAACACTGCTAACTATCTGTTTGGTTCAGTGGCTTCTTGCAGGCCTGGCTGTTTTCTATCTTTCAACCCCAGTCAGCTTTGAGGCTATCTGAACTGAAACGTGAGCCAGGTCTGCCCCTGCCCTTAGTAATGCACCAACAATAATACCTTTTAAATCTGGGCTCTTATATCAGCTTGCTTAGTGGAGCACACCAACAGAGATGATGTCACTTTAGACTCTACAGAATTCACTGCACATAGGATGTGCTGGATCACTCCCACTACTCTAGACAGGTTGGGTCACTCCTATACTCCTATTTTATGTAGTGCAACACACCAGTTTCTAATATTTTGGAATGGAGTTGTGAATACAGCATATATATATATTTGAAGACCCTAAATCACATCAATAAGAAATGCATAGCACGGGAAACGTCTCAAAGGCCATTATCATACCAGAAGTTATGGCCAAGCACAACATCCTCACTCTCACATTTAAACCAGTTTACAGAGTCTATTATGCTAAGCCTGAACACCAGTGATAGTGATGAATGATTATAAAATACAGTAATCTTCCATGGTACCACCACTGCAATATGACAGGAAAATTTCATTTATCCCACTAGTATTTTTTTCTTATTTAAGGAAGAAAATTACTGGTCTAGTAATCAGATATATAGTAGAGCTGTTCTCTGAGTTAAGCCACTTCTATTTGAATTTCATCTTCCCTAGCATTTCAGAAAATACACATGGATACAGAAACGGTGTCTTTGACAGCTGTTACTGCAACTTTGTAATAGAACATTTTATCATTGAAAACCTTAGTTTTTTAGTATTGTCCAATCAAAATTATTCTGTTTCTAGAATCACTCATTGTAGGTTTGTCATTGTAAGTTTATTTTAGCATAGTATATAGTGTAAAAAATTATAATGCTATATCAGCTTGCAACCACAATTCTAGCTCTAATGGCAAGAGAAAATGAATGAACAGAGCTC